TTGGCCCTTACTCAACAGAACTTTTAAGGGTGTGCTTATCCTTTAAGAAATGAGAAGTCTGATTAACTTTTGGAAATAAATGCTTCATTTTGACTTGAGTCAGGTCAATATTTAAGCTGTTACAGAAACTGTTTTTAAATGGCTGGTATATTCCTTGGGAACTCAATGCAGTCAGTGGGCTGCTGAAATTTCAGTAGAAATAATATAGGATTTAAAAAGAAAAAATTGTTGAAAACAGTTGGGAGTATTTCTTTGTCCTGAGTCACATCTGTCAGGCTTCTAGAGCAGCAGTCTGCAGCCAGGGACTTCCCTCTTTATGGTCAGTGAAGCTGGTTCCTGAAAGGCAGAGGTGGAGGTCCCTGTGCAGTAGGAACACAGTCTGTAATGTACAGTGAGTCGCTGGCTGGTTACGGTAGGGAGGAAGCATGCAGCTCTGCCCTCCACAGCAGAGGTGTGTGTGTGAATGTATATGTCGTATTATTTTCAAGAGAAGGTTCTGCCAAGTGAATATGGAAAATAAAAACAAAATGAAAGAAGGATATTGCAGCATAAAACCAAAACAATGCTTTGCTTCCTTTTCCAGATGGATGTTTGGATTATATCATTCTTCAGTACTGAAGAGCATGGCCTTCTGCTTCAGGACAGCTTTCCATTGCCTTCAGCCTACCAGGTTCTTCTGGGCATAGAGGTGCCACATTATTACTTTGCAAAAAAGGTGAGGAAATCTTTAACAATTCCTTCCCTTCCCAGAAGTTCAGGCTTTTCACTGCGTAGGGATCAAATTTAACCAAATTGAGTCTGGGGTGAGTAGAGCAACTCCAATGGCAGTTGCTGCAGCACGTGTAGAAATGACATAAGGATAATTGTAATGCGGGTGTACTTGGCAGTGTTGTGGAAGTTCTACTGAATTGGCTTTTCACAGTATTGCAAACTGGGTGCGACATAGAGCATAGGAGACACAGTAATTACCAGGGAATGCAACTGAAAAAGGGATGTGAACAAAATTCTCTTTCTACTTTATGTAGTCACTGTGCCTATTGCAAGTAAGGGGGGTGTGTGTGTGTGTGTTAACTTTACGTAGGCCATAAGAGGGGACGTTTCCTACTAGCTTCAGCAAAAACAACCCATTTTCTTCTTGGAATTGAGCTTAATCCCCACAGAATACTGAAGAGAGCAAGAATACTCATCTTGCAGTATCACCAGATGCGTATGTGCTACAAATACCAGGAATGCAGGCTTTAACTTCTTAAACTTGAATATGAATCCAAAATTGCTTGTGTCTTAGGTAAATAATACCATGCATACTGGAAGAAATTAAGCCTGTTACCTACAGATTGGTTTTCTGGTTAAGCTCTGACCTGAGTTTCTTAGGACAGTTAAGATGATGATTTGCACTGCTCCCTTTTCGTAGGGGGAGCTTAACAGAGTCTGTTTATTCTACCAAGGCATTTATTTTTGTAAAATCTGCAGGAACTTAACATGAATGAGACTTCTAATCCTTTAAATCTTCTGAATAAGACAGATCAATGTGATCACATAAATCTAATTTCATGTAGTTTAGGAGCAGTGTTAAACAGGGAGAATGTATCTAGATGTTTTTCTACTTCATATATTTAGATTCAGAGCAGTACTTTGCAATTTAGCCCCCTTCCAAAGAACTGACTGTTGTCACTCTTTCTGTGCAGATCTAGCTTTTAGAGTTGTGCTCTATTTTACTTTTTTCTTTTAATTTGAAAGGTCAAAGGTGATTTACTGCATTTTCTAATCTTTCAACACTTCCCCCCATCATGTCTCATGCAATTTTGCTTTGATATTATGTCTATTTTTTTCCTTTTTTTAAAACTCTGTATGGACTATTGCTGCCATTAGTTGTTTTTTCGGAGGGGATGTGTCTATAAACCTGTAAGTATCTGCATTATTTTGCTCCTCTTTGTTCATTCTCTGCTTTTCTCTCTTCTGTTTCCATTTTCTTCCCTCAGTAGGTTACTGTATCTTAGTGACTAAACTGCTTGTTATATAATAATTCATTTGGGAAACATGATTTATTATATGAACAGTCTGCTTTAAATATAGCAAATCCAGTTGATGCAACAAGTCTGTTTTGAGCAGCTTTCATTCCAGGGTTTCTCCTTATTCATTATAATGTCTCTTCTGTCCTGGTTCCAGAAATTCCCCAAATAGTAGTCAAAGGCATTTGCACTTTTGATTTCTGTCTTTTACTGTATCTAATACTTTCATTGTATAATAATATACTGGTTTAATTGGCTTCTGTAAACCTTAATATTTAGTTATCTAACTATACAATTGGGGTAGAGTATATGTGAAATTTGGTATTCTTCATGACTCAGATGATCTTCCACTGTGTTTGGCTTGTGAAAGTTTCCTTGTTATGCTCTGGACAGATCACTTAATATTGATGATTGACTTCATTCTTTTTCTGAATAATGGTTAAACTGCTTTGAGCTGCCTTTCAATGACTGGTGAAAGTATTACTGAAGCTCCAGAGGCTCCAGAACTGCCAATTGTATGGGGAAGGGTTCGAATCTGAGCTTTAGTATTCATAAGCTTCACATGAAGGCAAGAATAAAAGAATTGGGTCTATAGTTAACTTTCAGAACAGCAGACTCATTTTTGAGATGAGACTAACCTTAGAGAAATGTTTATCTGAAATCTCCAGAAATCTGGGGACTTAAAATAGTAGTTGCTACTATATTCGTAATTACAATAATTATAATAATAACAATAATTATGACTGTAATAATAGGAGGCTGCCTCTCCTGTGGTATTTTACCAATTTCCAAGCTATCAGTGACGTACTGTGATTGTTAGGATATGCTAATCTCTTCTATGACATTCCATATTTTGGGGCATTTCCTAGGAAGTTCTGAAACATTGCAACTGTTGTCACTATTGAGCATGGTCCCGCAGAAATAGAAAACTTGGACTGTAGTGGAAATAATGTAATTAATTACACATACAAAGGAGTAAGTTTCAACCTACTTGATACCTAAATGATAACATTCACATTTTAGCCGGGAGAAGCTGAGAAAGGACAAGCGGAGTCTGGCTCAATAAAGGTCTCTCAGATGGTTGCGAGAAGACCCATGAGAGATTTCATTGGATTAGGAGACTGTGATAAGACTACTCGGGATGCCATGCTGAACTTCAGCTTCTATCTGACTGCTGGAGACATGGATGAGGCCTTCAAATCCATCAAGCTGATAAAAAGGTATTGTAAGTATTTGTATGTATTTCTTTATGGGTACAGTTTATTTTTGTTAAAAGTTTGTATGAAGTTTTGATCCCCCTAAATTTTCTTTACTTTTTTGCTCTCTGATTTCATTCCCCCTTTCATTTTTAAGAAGAAGAAATAATTTTATCTTACAGACATTTTAATGTATTCTTTGCTTATTCTTTGTCTACAAGACGTTGCAAGCTCTGTGGGTTCTTTTTTACTAAACGGGGAAAAAATGATTGATAACAAGCAACGTTGTTCTGTGTCTGAATGGCAAAAATCTCACATTATCACTAGAAGAAAATGAACATTCACAACTTTACTTATACATCTAAAATAATCACAGTAACACCGAGTATTACAAATTTACCAACCACGTAGCTGATTTTTAAATTTAAATGTACATTATTATAATATGGATATTGCAATATTAGAAGAAATAATATAATGTCTTTTAAATATTCCAATATTTTATTTTTAAAAAACCCTGCAATTAATCATAGCATATTATTTCTAGAAAAGATTTTCCAGAAAGTAACGCAGGCAAATGAATACAAATCTTAGTTGGTTTTTACAAACCTACTGCTAGAAGAAACTCTTTGTCAGCTTTATGGTATCCTACCCTGATAGTCTAGAACAATGCAGTTGTTCTAGAGTGTCAGCCTCTGCAGAGTTTGCTCACTTGGAACATGGTGCAGAGCAGCAGTTGGGCTTGAGTTTCTTATTACATCAGAACTGAGTGCAGAACAGAACTCAAGAGCCAGCTTGATGATCACATTTTAACAAAGTGTGGAAAAGTATAGTGGAAATAATGATAAAGAAGAAAAGCAGTGTACTCAGCTGGGAGTGACACACCAGTCCTAACGAATTTGTAACATTTACAGCTCGTGGTCCTTCAAACCTATCAGTAACTGTGCTCAGAGTAGCATCCTTAGAGTTTGCCTCTAGTCCTGTATCCTAAGTATTTCTGCATAATAGTTTTTGACCTGTTTTTCTTCCTGGAAGTTACATGCAGATGACTTTTGTGAGCCCGTGTGCGTCTCAGGGTCAGGCTTATAAACATTATGCCTAATTCCAAAGGTACTAATTATTTTCATTTCATCACCATATTAAGTCACCAGGCAGGTCTTTTTAAAATCTCATCGTTAAGTCCTGTATATGTGTCGTCTTCTCCAATTTGGGTGCTTGAGTGGCAGTTACATTCTCCAATATTCACTGTTACATGCCTCTGAGCATTGCTGGGCAGAGCTGGGTGTCCTGACCTAGCGCTCTAATCTGAAAATGTCACAGCAAATGTTAAAGCCAGCTGGGAAGGAAAGAAATTAACTTGGGCTGAAATATCTCTTCTTAATAATCGTTTCCAATAATGTAAGTTAGTAGTATCCGTGATTATTAGGGAGTCCAGGTAACCTTCTTCTGTAGGTATTTGCCCTCATTGTAATACTGAAGTAGATTTTTCAGCGACATGAATGGCCTGTTCTAGCTGCGTACCCTTTTCTTTTTAATGGCATGTCTGTTCACATATAGGATAAACCCAAACCTTTGTCTCAGGATACAAAAGAAGTGTCTGAAAAAATGCAGCTTAATTCTTCTGCATTCCCTTACTTTACAATTAGAATGGTTAGAGTTGCTGTTGCTTTTTACTGTCTGGGCTGTGCTGTGGCTGGGGAGCAGGTGTTGCAGCTAATGAGAAGTTCCTTGAAGAGGGGCGGATGGAAGGACTAAAGCTTAATGAAATTTAAACAGCTGTTAAAATCATCACTAATTCTATAGTGAGTTTTCTGCTTTCTCAGATTGCCTGTTAACTCCAAAGCTATTGTCACTGGTCTCCTATAGCTTTTTACATTATTATTAGGGAGCAGGATAACTTTATGCAGACGCAGAAAATGTGTTTGGTTGTCTCTTTTCTACATTCTCATTGCATACACTCTGTGTCTGCTACAGCTGACCCTGCTGACATGTAGCTGTGATGCTGTCAGGATTCTGACAATCCAACATTCTGTGCTGTACAGCAGAGGGACAGGGCAATATAATATAATATATATAAAATTATGTGTTTTATACATATGTATATAGATGGAGCCCATCCAAATAATAATTGAGGGCCTCTGCCCACAAGAGTGAGCTTTGTGATGTCTTTCAACCCTTACTTTTAAATTATAGCATATATTTATAGAAAACAACTCAAAAACAACTCCAATGCAGATCTCCTTGGAGATCTTTCCCCTTTCAAGTCCACTCTTTCAGCACGGTGACTCAACGTAGTCGTTTTCCAGGCCACGGCGAAACCGAGCGGTCAGGGTACGGCTAATGACAATGACCCGGGGCGCCATGCAGTCCTCACGCCGATGAAGGATGTTCCATATGAGAATGGCAGCTGCTAGCGTGGCCAAAAGACAGGCTCCAATGTTCAGATAGCAAGACCAAGAGAGGTTGGTGTATGGTCCGATGCGGTAGAAAGTCACCAATCCGATAACCAGAACGAAACCTGCAAGGAGAACGTGAGAATTATTTTTGATGTGTTATTCTCTTGAACTTCTGTAGTGGCAAGATGCCATAGGCCAACATTCATGAGTCTGTAAAGCCTGTCCCTCCCTGCTATGATGTGCTGTATGTGTTCCTGAGGGCGTATTTGGGCATACAAAGCCTGGGTGCCTGAAATGGAGTCTCGATGTTAGCTTTGAATCAGTTCACTCTGATTTACATTTCTTACTCCCACTTAGCTGTATTTCACGTTGTGTTTTCTTCTCCATCCTCGTCTCACTTACACAGATGTCCTCTTTTATTCCTGTTGCCAACACAGAAAACTGGTATATTAATGATAATGAAAATCTTTTATTCAGAATATGGCACACTTATTCTGAAATTTTAAAATGTTTATTTAAGGCAGGCCACTGTTGTAAACTGCAAAGATGATGAATAGCTAAAATCTTATAGAAATAATTAAAAAAATGTACAGAAGCTTAAAAAAAAAGGGAAGGTGAAATAAATGGGATTTTATGGTCCTGCTTTTCCTATGCTGGAAAAGAGTGTTATGAGGCAGGAGTAATATGCCTTCAGAAGCTACCAAAGGCAAGTTTCCATTCCCTTCCTAACCTTAAGCACAGTAGTAAGTTCCCTAAAAGGTAGGTAATATTAGAGTAATAACACTGCTCTTGTCTAGCATTTCCATCCAGATGTCACAATGTGATTTGTGAAAAAACTGAAAAAAAGTTTGTCCACATTCTTTTTGGTAGACACCACTGAAAAACAGTAATGTTATTTCAGAGGTGAGGCGGGGTGACTTTTCTAGTCATGCAGGAGGCCCATATTAGAACAAGGGGCAGAATCTGTATCCCTTGACTCCTGCTTTTTTGTTACTAAAACTGTCCTTTCCCTGAAGAATGCATGGATAAGCACACAATCACTTTTCTGCCCTCTGTTTATTGTATTAGTCTCTCTTCCTGTCCCTACTCTCAAATAAAACTACTTTTCAGCTTTTTAAGAGAAGTAATTTATACATGTGACTAGATCGAAACAAACATCCAAAGAGGCAAATATGCCTCACTAACCGAAAAAGGGTTTTCTCTTTGTTCTCCTACACACTTCCTTCACCACCACCATGACATGAGAAATATCACTGACAAAAGGACCCCTTCATGAAGGAAGACTAGACTAAGCAAAGGCCCATAAACAGCCAGAGGATTTCTAGATACCCTCTTCCTAAGTTCATGGGCAAGGACAAGTCAAGAGCAAGTAAGTCCCAGTGGCTGCATGCTGTTTTCTCAGTTAGCTGTGCTGCTTGCAAACGCTGTTCCCACAGATCCGCGGCAATGCTCTAAAATGGTGTGACACCTGGCTCTGGTCCTTGATTTTCCATGAAAGAGCACATCCTGAGTATGCCTTGTATCAAGTTGTTTTTTTTCTAAGAAGAGTACTAGTAATACAGTGAAGATGGGAAAGACACAAATTACACACAGGTAAAAAAATAGAGGAGGGAAATGAAATACAAACAGGAGAAGAAAAAAAATAAATTGCTACTTACGTAGGTGTGACGCTTTTACTATTCTGAGAGTAAATAATGTGAAAGTTTGAATACCCCTCCTAATGAAACAAGCAATGAGTATTAATTCGGGAGACGTCTGGCATCCTCAGCTCTCTTGTGTCTACCTAGAAGGTGGTTTGTAACTCAGTTGCTTGCTACAGCTTCTCCTCCTGAAATAGCACTGTCCCACAGAGGGCATGTACCAGAGGGGGTTTGAAGTGAGGCATCTCTTCCTAAGGATATATGAGGAGGAAATAGGTTCTTACAGGAGGAGTAGCTCTTTCCTGCTCTTTCGCCACTCTGCACTTTGCTCTGAAAAAAGCCTAACGTACTCTGGATGGGTTTTAGGCTGTCGAGTCAGTTATAAGGACAGTGATTAATAACTCCCTGATTTTGTCAGTAAGTCTAGTAGTTATTTAATGGTTCAGCTTAGTTATGAATGAAAAAGTTTCATGTGGGAAAAATGTGGCCACATGGAGCACACTGACTTAACTGAGTTGCAGAAATCACTGATCTGTACAATAACCGTTCGCCAGCACTCCCAAGTTGAGCCTGCAGACTTACTTAGGAGGCCGTTCTAATGTTAGCCAAGTTGGAGATGGGATCCCAAACTAGTGGTCATCTAGCATTATTTCAGGATACGCAGGTTTGAAAGTTGCTTCTCAACTCCTCTTCAAAAAAATACTGAGTTATGGTTGAGGTAGAAAAAGGTTGCGCTTTTGACAAATTAAGCTTAAATCTTCATTTTTTTTCAGTAATCACTGGTGGATGACAACCTTATATCAGATTATGCAGGCTTTTTAAAATCCTGGTCTTTTGAAGCCAGGCAGATGTTATCCACATCCTTGGATGAACTGTTGAAGGCAAACCACCTGTCTTTGAAGGAGTTAATTTTTCTGTATATTCATATGCTTAGCTCGTCACCACGTGCAAGTGGAAATGTTCTCTCCTCGTGCGTTCAGAATCCTCACTGAAGTTTGCAAATGTGTTTTCAGCATTCACAGAATGCTACTTTTGTCCCCAAAGCCACAGTTAATTGTGCTCTTCCTTTTCTGTGATGTTTCCTTGAGTTGCTTTTGAATTCTCATGACTTTGGTGTTATCTGGGTCTTGTATGACTTTAATCTTTTTCTTTATTGTTAGCAGTAATAGTAGAGCTGGGAAACAAAATAGTTTTCCCTCATTTCCAGTGTCATTCTCCAAGTTCGGTTTGTCCTGAGGCACACGGTAGAGGGAAGAAGGGGAGATCAGATCTGTATTGTGGAACACATCAGGTTTCTTTAAACTCTCCTCTGAGATGGCCCGGTTCCTCATCTGTGAAACCTAGATGATAAAACTTCTTTTCTCCTATGTTTTGTTTTGTGTTTCACGGCTTCGGGAGCAGAGCGTGCTAGTTGTAATGTACTTACAGAGAATGTGTATCTCTACATCTACGTTTGAGGTCTTTAGGTTTTATAATACAGGTAAACACTGATAGTGCTTTGCTCTCCCACAGGTTGCAGTCTACTTTTCAAAGGATGATAGATACCAATTTTCTCATGAAGGTAGGAAACTGAGAGAAAAGGAGATTGCTTGCGCCTCCTGCGGCCAAGTTGTGGACCTGTTTCTTTTCCTTCTGGTGTAAAATTCGAAGGAAGGAGGGTATTGAGGTACAAATCAAGAGACCCATCTTACTGATGAGTCTGGCACATGACAAAACTTCGTGTGGGCAGTTTTTCTTTCAGAACTCTTCCAGTTCACATACGCTTTCACAGGGGATCCAAAAAGCATTAAATAAACTTTAAAAAAATGTGTGAAGCAAATCATAAAACCTGAAGTAGGAAGAACTTTGAACCTAACCCATTTGTACCAGTGACCGCTTAAAGTTACCTCTAAGGGACAGTTACAAATATTAACAACAGTCCACTTGACACTATCTTGAATTTGAGGCTCTCTTGGCAGAGGGAGTTAGGTTCAGGAACACCAGTTACAGAGTAACCCTGATGCGATGTTGTGTCTTGTAGCTTAATTTCCACTTATTGAATTGTGGCTAGTGCTTTCCCACTGCAGGTTTACAGGTATTTACTCTACCATTATCTCCAGCTTAGAGAAGTAATGGATGATTAGCGCTTCTAGTTTCCTTACTGAAAGTCAGGTCTGCTTGTGCAAACCTGCTGGGGAAAACCTTTAGGGTTCCTGGTGCATGTGAGAGCTGTACTCCCGTGAGCACGAGTTTTGCCCCAGTCTTTGCTCACTTAGCCAAGGCAAGCAGCAGTGGTCTGTACACATTCCTTTATGGCACAGTAGAGTAAATAAACACTGTAGGAATATTTTTAATATTTAAACTTTTTTCCGAACACCCAGCTTCTGATTAAATTACTTAGCTTTTTCTTTCTTGCTTATGTATCATTTATGGCCAATTACTGTCCTAAGTGGCTACACATCTCTATGCTAAACCAGCCATCTTCATGAGCTCCCTTACATCTGATGGAGAAATTATCCACCAGGAAAAAGCACTAAGGTTTCCTTACAGGTCCCAAAATAAAACTATTTATGCTAGCAAGACCGTTTCCCTTTGCAGGCCCTTTGCCTGAACCCTGATCAGATGAGCAGCCAGTCGCGCAAGAGGCTTTCTCTCCTTTTGCAGTTCCGTGCCAGTGTCTGAGCTGGGGGGAACTGGGAGATAATGGGTTTGAGAGCTCCCCAGCTTGGCAGATAGCAGGAGTGAGTCACTGGACCTCTTGAGTGAAAAACGTTGGATCTGTTTAGAATACTTTGCTGCAGGCGAGGCGGGAATTGACATTTAAGAAGAGAGAAAAACATGACAGAGGTGGGAGAGCTGGAAGCACGTTCCTGGAGAGTTTCCATAATTAGTTTTACAGTTCTGCCAGTGTAAATGAGCTCCAGAATAAAAATGTTGCTGTGAACATTATTTTCCAACGTTCTTATTTCATATTAGCATGACCTGATATTGGATCTATAAATGTAGGAAATCCAGAGCAAAGGGTGAAGAAATCGTATTAATCCCAAAAGACTGAGTTTGCATAGGATATTTAAATTTCGATGAATGCTGCTTTTGTAAAGATTATGTTGTAAGAAAACGCCCAAAGTTTGTTTGGAGAGATTTTGTCTGTAATAACTTAATCAAAATTAGACTTCTTGAAGCAAAGTGTTCCAGTGTGCTACTTGTGTTTTCCTTGCCCTTAGAGTGGTCGTGTTGTACACCAGCCAAGAACTGAGAAGGAACATTTCGTAGCAAGTCTGTTCTCTCAATGACTGGGCAAACACATTCAATTCACTTCTTTGTGCCAGCCCGGCCCTTCTCCTTCAGGGGTTCCTCTTTCTTAGGGAAAGTAGATTTTTAAATTTTTTTTAATTATTCCTCTGGTATATGGATGTATCTGAGGAACGATGTCTTCCTAGTTTGGATGAAACCTCACGAATTACGTGTGTACCGTTTGGTTACAAGCCCTAGTGTACTGATGC